GCCAAATGTCACAGCCATTGTGCCAGTGCCCTGCACCCACACAGCACCACCCGTGGGGAAGGGAAGTCCGAATGTGTTATGAAGTCTTCCCCGAGGACAGTTATAAATAGTGCGGTGACATGCAAAGGAAAGCACACATAAAAGTTAGCTGCCCCCCTGTGGGTTACAAATGTTTGACTCATTTGCTGACTATCTACAAAAATTATAATTAAAGTGGCCACCGCCAAGGGTGGGGGTGTCACCCTGCCAGAACCCGCTTGCCTTCCCCTGAGTCCATATACTCAGAATGACCTGTAACAATAAAACAAGGGCCTAAGGCCCTTGGCAGGGGGCTGTCAGGCTCCTGCTATAGCCAGATCATTCACAGCCTCCTGCCTTCTGCAATCCCAAAAGTCATCCCCAAAGAAGGTCTGCAGGAAGGGGTCAAACCTATCTGGCATCCCAAATATGCCTGAAACTGTGGATCCTCAGGGGATTTTTCAAAAACACTAGGATATGCTCCAACAGCCATCTACCTCCACTCAGGTGGTACCTGAGCCCAAGCAGAAAGTGCAGAGTCTAGCTGCTGCTTCTGCCCTTCTGCCGACAGGCTGGGGACCCTGCCGGAGGCTGGCATAGTGCCCACGGGGAGCTGGGGATGTAGCACAGAAGCAGACTGCATCTTTAGCATGCATTGCCCTAGGTTCAATCCCCAGCACCAAAATATAAAAATAAAAAAGAACTGAAATGTTATCTATCATTCCAGCTGAAGGCTAGGGTTGAACTCACTGGCCTCTGCAAAGAGATGGGCATCAAGTTGGCACTCTTCGGGGGGACACCTTTGCCTTTGAAGACAGTAGAACCAGAACCAAGTTCCTCCACACATGCAGAGAAATCTGTCCCTCCCACTAAGTGCTCTGAAGAGGGAAGGGTAACTAGCGGGGAGAAAGAAGCTCTTTTGAGGAGCAGGCAGGGCAGCCTGAGTCCACACTATCACATAGGCTCCTCAGTCTGCAGCCTGGGTCACCGCAGCATCGGGCCAGCCCCAGGCAGCAGGGAGATGCAGAGGGGCAAGAAGTTGGTGGGGCAGGTGAGAGGCATGAAGGGAGCCAGGATCCATGAGGCCAGGACTAAGGAAGTGGTTTGAGCTCGTACAAGATTAGCAGAGTGTGCCACCCTGCTGCACCAGCATGCCTCAGCCTCCTGGGAGACAAGCTCACAGCCCAAGTGAGGCCTGTGGGTACAGAGAAATAAGATCCACGGTGACAGAGAAGACAGCCCAGCCACTCACAGGATGACAGAGACACCAGGGGAGTCCTCAGGCTAATGAGGAAGGAAGAACAGAACAGGCCCACTCCTAACTCTCTCCAGACCCAGAGAAGAGAGAACAGCCAGCAGTTTAAGGCAAGGGATTGTGTGCTCCAAACCAGCTCTAGAAGCAAATAAGAAGAAAGATCTCCCAAATTCTCATTGCTGTAATCCCGAGAAAGAGTCATTTGTAGACAGGGACCATGTCACAAAGATTTGACAGCATCTGTAGATCTGGCCTTGTCATATGTCTAATGCTCAAGAGAGAGTAAATCCACCTAATAAAAAGGGTGCCTTCTCATCCAGTCAAACGGCAGCTCAGTACTTTTAAGAGCACATTAGGGCTGTCTTGGCACCTCTCTACCTAGGAAAGAGTTTGCCTCCTCTCTGAGCTGCCTGGGAGCAAGCCCCACCTCCCTGTTCTCGCTGATGTGTCCCAGCACTCAGCTGCCAGTGTCATCGCCTACAGCCTGTGAGGGTGGGAGCGGGGATCGTTCTGTCCTGATTTCTCAACCTCCTCACACTGGCTCCCTTTTGCATCAACTTTGAACATGCTCAGGGTACATGCCATGTTCCTTTGCAAAAGCTCCTGGCCTGCATGATGAATTCCTTCCCCAACACCATATACCAGTCAAAGACAAGAGAACAGAGAGGCCACAACCCTGTGAAATAACAGCAGAGAACTTCAGAAAGCTGCAGCCCAGGCATATAGGTAATACATCTTCAATCACTTGAAGAAAAAATGTGCTCCTTCCAACAGTTTTGGAGGGGAGGCTGCCACGGAAGATACTGCTCACACTGACTGGGGCACCTGTGACGCCCTATCCCTCTGCTTGCCTTTAGAATGGTCAGCAAAGCCAGTCAGAGTCATAAGCTCTCCAGCAAGAGTGTCATCTTCTGATCCAGGGACATCTGAGTATCTGTGAACTCTCCTGTGGATGTTTTTCGTCCTAATCCTAAACCAAACTCCTCTCCCACGGTGCATTTCCTCCATGAAGCTGGGGGACAGACATTCACCTCCAGCCACACAGATGCAAGTTTCAGGTGAAATCTAGCCAAACTAGCCATGTGCCAGGACTTTCCCATCCACAAGTCCCAGTTACCGACTGATTCTACGGTTGGAGTTAGATTACAAAGGAGAAAAACCACCTCTCCTCATCTCAGCACCACCATCAGCATTAGCAGCATCAGCATCAGCATCAGCATCAGCGACAATCCCATACATCCCTTTTGTTGAGCAGACACTATAGAGAAAGCCTTACACTCACCCGTGTAATCTAATCCCCCCACTTGACAGCTGGGAAACAGGCGACAGAGCTGTGTGACTTATCCAAGATCACACGACTGGAAGTGGCAGAGCCAGGACTCTGACTTCAGTGCTGTGCTTTCACAGGACCCCATTTGCCTCCAGGGAAGACATGAGCATCAGCCCTCCTTCCCTTCCCTTGAGCCCACAGGCCTGGCACAGAGAAGACACTCGAAAATGTGTATTCTATTAGACGATTCAAAACACAAGGATGGATGGCCAGGCAGGTGAGTGGGTGAGCAGGTTAAAGTGAGCCCTGCCTGTCTCCATTCTAGCCCTAAGGTTACAGGACGTGGTCATTTCACCAGCAGGACCTTCTCAGGGGCTGCCTGCTCTGTGCCACCTCCAACCAGAGGGGGCCAGTGGGGAAAGTCCAGCTCCTCAAGCCACACCTCCCTTCATTCACCTGCAGTCTGTCTTCCCTGCTTCTGGGGAAGCCCCTTTCTTTCCCTTCACCTTCCATCACAGTGGCACCTGCTCGAGGGAAGCCAGCTCCCTCCTGCCCAGCAGGAGCCCTCTCCTGGCACTCAGACAAACAAGCACAGATCCCACACCAGGAACTGTGCAGCTACTGTCTCCGGGAACACAGGAGGTGCTGGTGCTGCCCTCTTCCCTCACCCCAAATACGTAAGCCTGGTGCAAGCCCCAAGGGATGACTAGAGGGAGCCAAGTCTGCACACAGGGTGGCTGCCAGCCTCTTCTCACAGAGCGGAGTGCCCAGCGGGAGAGGGGTTGGGAGAGGCAGTGAGCAGAGACCTGCCGCTGCTGGCTCAAAGGCTCATTACAGGCAGTGACTAAGTGGCCACGCTGCTGCTGCCTGCCGGGGAACCCCACTCACTGCTGCTTGCTGCTGCCTCCGAGGGAATCATCTTTGAGCTATTTAGATTAAGGCGACTTCCAAGGGCTGCCCTGGGCTGGGGCACCCCCAGAACAGCCAGGCCCAGGAGGACCCTCTGCCTAGAAGTCTGCTTACTGGCTATGCACGTCCTCTGACAAGTCTGCCCACCCGGGCAAGTCTGCCCATCACTGCTCAATGAGAGATGTTGGGAAGGGGGAAATTCGATCAGTACCTCCCAGGTTTTTGCGACTGGATTTCAACAAGGAATGTGACAGTCTCACAGCAGCTGCGCTCTGCCTGAAACAAGCTCTATTTGAAGCCTCCAACAGCTGAACCCCTCCCAGCCACCCGACAGCCAGCCCAGCCACCTCCTGCCCAAAATGACAAATAAATAGAGAAATCCAAGCAACACACACACACACACACAACACTGATTCTTCATGTCTCTGCCTTTGGGCCCACAGCAGAAGCCCCCCACCCATACCCACAAACAGAGCATCCAGAGAAACCCACCTTCTTCAATCTCTATTCCCTCTGGGGTGAGCCCCCTCCTCTGTCTTGGGACTGGATTGAGAGGCTGGAGCCATGGAGCCAGCGCCCCCCTAAAGTCAATCACTGCTGTTCTCCATTCGGGCGTATACACACGCACACGCACAGGCACACGCGCGTACACACACACACACACACACACACATCTTTATTTATCCTGAGGAGAAGGAGTTGGAGTGGGAGGGAGGGAGGGGAGAACTGGGGCTGAGCTGGGGCACGGGCTCTCGGAGACCCACTGGGGAAGCCCTGTCATCCCATCCCCAAGAGTGTGCTCTCCCCGCTCAGCTGATGTCAAGGCAGCGCCCATCTGCTGTGCCCGGGTGACACCTGTAGCCATTTTTATCAGGGGATATTTATGAGGCAGCAGCAGGTTTATTCCGAGTCCTCCTTCCTAAGGGAAGAGACTACCGATTTCCTCTACCTATATTTTTACCCTGATGCCCTCGGGAGACTCAAGTCATGGTGTCTTTCTGTTTTGCCCCAAGGCTCTCCAGGAAGCAGAGGGAGACAAAAACTTGAGGAAAGAGGAGGACAGGGAGAGAAGCGATTTGGAGCATGGCATGGAATCCCTACCCCCTACCCAGATATTTATTTCTTTTTTATCCTGGGGAAAATGGAGTGGAGAAGGGAGGGGAGGAGAGAAGGGGAAGTCACAGGAACTGGCAAACACATCACGGCAGAGTGTAATTAATTGGTACGTTAAGCTGCTGGGTTATACTTTAGTATGAGTGAGCCAGCAGGAAGAATGATTTCTCAGAAGGGATTATTTAATCCTGCCTAACACAGTCTGCAAATTAGACCCAGTGCACGGGGATGCCCCCTGAAAAGGGAGCAAGGAAGGAATACTCTCAAGACCAAGAAGGAAACCATGGGAAATTAAAGTGTTCATAAAACTGGTCAAATGCCTCCCACACACACGTCTGTCACTCTCTCCCAATCTCCCAATCTCTCTCTATCTCTATCTCTCCACACCTTCATATCCCTTCTGTTTAAGGTATAAAGAGAAACCACAGCCCCTACCTTTGAGTACAAACCCCAAGACAGCTCGGTCTCTATCACCATAACAACAATTCCAAACATCCCAAAAATCAGAGCATAGTCACTGAGTCGCTTTCTCTTTTCAAACAGGGCCCTCCTGTGTCCCAGCTTATAGCCAATGTTTTGGTTTTTCCGCTTGTTGGCTTTGGGGAAGGTGGTGCTACTGGCAGTGGTGCCGGCATGCTGGTGGTTGTGGGTGGCATTGGGGTGATGGAGTAGGGTCAGGTGGGCATGGTTGTCCTCCCGGGAGGAGATGACGATCTCTGGGGGGTTGCTGGGACTGAAGAGCTGGAGGGGCTGGCCCTCAGGCTCGGCCTCGATGAGGTTCCTCCGAGAGGCGCTGAGGCGGCTGAGGGGTTTCATGACCCCACCACTGTACTTGCAGGAGCTCATGGCGATCTCCGTGAAGGGGTTGCTATCCCGCCGGTGCACCAGGGGGCTGGCCTGCCGGTGCCGGCTGCCTCCACCAGGCCCACTTGTGGCTGTGGAACTTGGAGAGTGGCCAAGCAAGTGGTCATTGAGATTGAGCTGGCTGCCTTGCCTGGAGGAAGGGTGGAGGATGGCGGTGGAGTTGGCCGAAGGGGGGGCCCTGAACGCGGTGGGAGAGGAGTGTAGCAAGCCGGGGTGGACAAGCTGGCTCTGGAGTTGGGCGAGCTGAGACAGGGGATGCGGTGGCTGCGGTGGCTGCTGGAGCTGTGGAGGCTGAGGCTGCAGCGGGGGTCCTGGGGGCTGCTGGGGGGCTGCTGGGGGCGCTGGCGGTGGTGGCGGTTGCTGCTGTTGCGGCTGTTGCTGCTGCTCATCCCCAGAGGATGGACAGGGACACTTGGGGTCTTCATCCAGGTCCCCCACCCCAGAGTCATGGAAGTGCCCAGAAGTGTCCATCTTGGGGCCAGGCTGGATTCCCTGCAGCACAATCCCCCACCCCAAAGCCACCCTCTCTCCAAAGATGTCCTCAAAGAAAGCCAGGCATCCGAGCTCCCCCAGCAGTGTCTTGGCTCCAGTCCTCTCCCTCTGGCTGGCTTCGGCTCTCTGGAGTTGTCCGGAGTCCAGACGCTGCCACTCAAGAATGCATTGTGGTGGGCAGAGGAGGAGGGCAGGAGGGGAGCCTGAGAAAGGAAAGGGGAAGGAACTGTCCCAGGAGGGGGCTTCCAGGAGCGTGAGAGGCCAGGCTCTGCTTCGCTCCTCGCTGGCTCTAGAGCTCCGCTCTCCTCCTCCTGCCTCTGTTATATTGGAAGCCAAGCCCACTTATCAGCTGCGGTGCCATTGGCTTGGCTTCACTCTCCCACCGCCCCCCGACTCCGCCCTGCCCGCGGGCTCCTCCCCGGGGCGGGGCCTGCCTTCCTCCCCGCCCGGCGAAGCCTGGGAGCTGTAGTTTCCGCTCCACGGCCCCTCGGAGAGCCGCTACCGCGTCAGGTATGGTGGGACCGAAACCCGCACAGCTACAGCGACTGACGGGGGTTCACTCCACGGGGGGAGATAGGAAAGAAGTCAGAGGCTCCTGTGGCAGGCAGCTGCCACCGCGATGAGGGAACAGGGGAAGAGATACACGTGTATTAATGACCCGGGTCTAGGACAGGTTATTTCACACACCTCCCAGGTAGATCCTTCAGATGCCCAAAGAGCCAGGCTTTATGTGGTCCCCATTTTACAAAGGAGAAAACATATTCAGAGGTGTTGGGTAACGATGTCAAGGCCACAAGCAGAGGTGGCCGCTCCTGCTGAGGATGGCGTGAACTCACTACCACTGATCCGGCTCCAGCAACGTGTGTGCAGAAGCCCACCATCTCAGCGCTCACATACACTCCACAAAATGATGTCATCGCTCTCCTTCCACGAACAAAAACTGTTTTTAGAAAGAAAGAAACGAAAAGGAGGGAAGAAGAGGGGGTGGAAGGAAGAAAAGAGGGAAGACAAGAAGACACACACACACACACACACACAAACACACACACACACAAACCCACAAGCACAAGTGGCTTTTGTCAGATGTTACCTAACTTGTAATTAAAGGTGCTAAGATTTGAACTGATGTCAGTCTGACCACAAATTCTGTATCCCAGATTGCTCTTTCGCTGTGACACTCAGTACAAAGTGTGTGTTCAGTCAATATTGGTCTAATGATGGATGAGAACCATCTGGGGAGAAACTGTCACAGAAGAACTGACTTCCCCAAAGCAGGACATGGGAAGTGGACCATGGCTCCAGCCTCTTCCCTGCCAGCTGCATGTGGAATCACCAGAGGGTCTAGCAGGAAGACTGACTACCCCTCGTCATGGCTCCCTAACTGGTTTGCCCCATGGGGCTCTAAAAGTCAGGGCTGGGAACAGCTGTTGACTTCCCAGGTTCAGAATCATCATCATCAAGTATTTATTAAGCTCCCACTGTGGGTGTATAGTGAGCTCCAAATGGAACCAGAGCTGAATGTACTTCCATTCTTAACTGCTAATGCCTTAGGGATCAGAGAGGAAGACTCCGTGGTGCAATCCTCAGACACATCTAGGAGAGTAAGAAGGAAGTATCTTCCTGCCTGCTTCCTAATTCCCCATGACCCTTTGGCTTCTGTCCAGCTCCTTCACTAAGTAAGAGGGAGAAGAGGAGATCCAGCACACATGCTCACACACACATGCATACACACACACACCCTCAGGTATGCTGTAAATCTTCGGTCTCATATGCTTTCCCATGACCATGCAAGTCTCCCAGTACCCCACCTCACCCCCTCTAGTGTGCCCCACCTGTCTCTTTCCCACCTTTTTTTTTTTTTCAGTACTGGGGATCGAACTCACGACCTCAAGCTTACCAGGCAGGCACTTATGCCCCTGTGCTAAATCCCCAGGCCCCCACCTATCTTCTTGATTTCCCTCCTTCTCTTCCATCCCCAAACTAAGCTACCTGTTTGCTTCAAGTTTCAAATCATTGTGAACCATGTTTAATGATTGCCAAATAAATTACCATTAATATGTGGCTAATGGCATAAATGTGCCATTAGTACTGGTTTTTAATGCTGGATACAACTTCAGGATTGTGAAAAATCAATCTGTGGTACAGGCTCCAGGCCTGGGTATTTCTGTGCCCTGTGGGCTGCCTTCTGTCTCAGCTAACCTGTCTGGGCCAGACTCCTGGCTCTTTTCCCCTGAACTATGCCAGTGAGGTCTGAATAGCACCTGGAAGTGCTGTCCCTGCTGTCATGGACAAGGATGAGAATCAGTCCGCATGGGCTAGAGAACTCCAGAGATTCATCTGGGAAAGGGATTGACAGCTGGTGCCACTCAGGCAAGTCCCACACTGGTTACAACCCCATCCCGAATAGAGGCAGACAGCATTCAGGTAAGGGTTCGGACTCTGGAGTCAGTCTGCCAGGCTGGACTCCTTTGGCCTTCTCTGCCGTAGGATGGCTGGGTGGCCATAGGCAAGACGGTCTCTTGAGTCTCATCTTGCTACTCTGTAAAATGGAAGTAATAAGGGTTTGGGGGAAGACTAGATGCAAGGCACATGAAGAACCTATCTTGTGTCATCATATATGACAGTCCAGAGCCCCTTGTGATACACTGCAGCTGGCCAGTACTGGCTCTTTAAAGATACCCATGCATATCTCTTCCCAAGTCCACATTCAGCAATGTCACACTGGTAGCTCAGAGTCAGTCAAGTGGAGTATTCCACCCCAGGAATCAGCGCACACATAAATCAGGGCTTCTTCCTGAGAGTGGCTGTTGAGGTTTTACTGGCTGTTAAATGTCCACCAGCAAATTTAGGTTCGATGACCCTCTGCCCATCACTGCCTCCACCCAGACTTCACACTGCACCCTCATCCAGAGGTGGTCCGGGCCTGTTCTCCTACTGTCCTGTCCCCGGAAAAGCTGTATGCCCGGTCCACTGTGTGACCTTGGACCAACTGCTTAGCCTCTCAGGCCTCTCAGGCAACCTAAGTAAATACTTTGTACCCCCCAGTACTTACAGGTTGGTGACTGACTCCTGTGGGCACTGTGCAACCCCAGGGCCTGAGCACGTCTGACTTCCAGTCCTGCTCCATGCTGCACTGCTCTGCACCCAGGCATCTCCCCGCCACTGCTGCAGGTCAGGGAGGCACCCAAGGCTTCCTCTGACCCACAACTCCAACTATGTCTTCCAACAACCTCTGAGTTGGGATCATCATTCACTTTGTAAATCAGAAGAAAACCATCATACAAGTCTTAAAACTGTCCACAGTTACTAGGAAGTAGCTAGTGGCATAGCTGAAAACAAACCCAGATCTATGAGGGCCAAAGCTCAAGCTCTCGCTGTGTGTCCTGAAACCCAAACCCATAGGTCAGTCCTATTTGGCTTTATTAAACGTCACCCTGTGACTCCCATAGCCAACCCTCAGCAGATGACCTTTCACTGCAGAGACACATTAGGTCCAGGTGGGGTGAAAAGGAGTAACAGTGAAGAGATGCAGAGGTGGCAGGACCTGAGCCACACCTAAAATGAAGGCTCACAGTAGGCCTCTCCAGTCTACACAGAGGGGCCAAAGGGGATGGCAGAAAGCCCAAGGAAGATAAGCGAAGACACATACACTGAAGCAGGGAAGGAAGGGAAAGCCTTTGGCAACACCAGCTCTTCTACCTCAAGGGTGCTGGGGCGCAGTCCCTGGCTTCCCTCCACACTTACTCCTTGCTATCTCTTTCTTGAAGCCCCAGTGTCATTTGGTTTCTCTCTAAACCACGCCCTTTCACACCCTGTGCCTCTGCCTGCCATGCCCTGCCTCTACATTCTCTGTCCTTCCAGATATGCCTCCAAGGTCTGCTCTGTCAGAAGCCTCCCTTGAGTGTCCCACAACTGAGCTGGCCCTTCTGTATTTTCAGTGCCCTTGCTAACACTTGCTAAGCAGTACAGTTATCTCAATGTGCACCTTTTACCTCAAACTGTGACCTCCTTGAGGGCAGGAATAATGCCTGCTTTGCCCCTGCATCCGCAGTTCTTACATACAGAAGGCATACAGATGATGCTTGACAACCTGCACAAACTGAACTTGAAATTGGGGAGAGGTCATTTGGAGGCAAATAAGAAGTAGTCATGGCACTTTCACAACAAATAACAAGCATTATTTCCCTGTCACCAAAATGAATGAGTAAAAGAAATGAGTTCTAAGATCACTCAGCTTTAAAATTCCATCATCTATGGTCTATAGAACTTGTCCTTAAAATGTAGAACTGGCTGAAACTAAATCGAGGGAAGTAATGACTCAGGTTTATATGGTTGGTCATCTCCCCCATAGGCTTATATTCCTTCAGGGCAGAAGAGGTCTAATTTTTTTCCATATCTCCAGCACTGAGCAGGACACCTGACTATGGATGCCGTCATTAAAGGTTTATCAGCTGGATGGGTAGATAATGGATGGATGGGTGATGGATGGAGGTATAAATGATGAATAGACATATAATAGTGGCTTTTCCAGAAAAGTCAGTGGTTTGAGGGTTATCCTTGGCCTTTTAGGGACAGTGCTATAAAGATCAACCACTCTTCCCCAACCCTGGATGTTCACCCAGATTCCAATCAGTATTGTGTTCTTATCTAGAAGCTTTGTTGCTGACTTAATTAATGCTCTAATAATAAAAATAATTGTGTTTACATAATATTTTATTGTTTTGTTTTCCAATTGCTTTCATATAAATTACTACATTTGCACCTCCTAGAAGCCCTAGAAGCCAAGAGGGGGGATCCATTGGCCTCAGGATCATAAACTAAAATTTAGAAAGTTTTATGCAGCTGCTCATGATCACCAGACATCCAGGATCTGAAGCCTCTTCATTCATCCACCCTCACACTGTTTAAGCATTGCCCTGGTCACAAACTTCCCAGGACCTCTCTCCCCCATGCTCTCAGTTCCACACCATCTCCTGCTTCTGTGTACCCCTAGTGTTTTATTTCTGTCTCTCTGGGAACACTTTCCCCTTCTTTCCTTGTATTGACACAGTCTATGCATGTGTCTTTTCTCTCCTGTTTTTAATTTACAGCAGGAGTTCCTTGCAGATAGGAGATCATGGTACAAATTGTAGAACACACATACACAACACTATACCTCAACCTGCATCTAAATTGTGCATTGCATAAATGAGTATATGCATGTGTGAGAGTTTGGGGCACTTCAACCCAGGGCACTGCCCCTGACTGACATCACTGGCCACTGGGATGCCAGTTGGTAAATGTAGGTCTCCCATCTATGCC